AATTTCAAAATTTTCAAACAGTACAATTGATCAAATGTTTTAAAGAAAATAAATTAAAAATTTAAATTGTCCTCTTTCCTTTTTATAATCTGCATGAAATTTTACAATGAAAATCAAAAGTTTAACTTTTTAAACTTGTATTTTTTAAAAAAAACTTTCAAACCCAAATTTTTAAATTAAAAAAGAGGAAAATTATTATCATAACTTATAAAAAAGAAGGAAAAAAGAAATATTTCAATGCAGGATTTTCATCAAATGTTAACAATTTAAATAAGACATACCATATCTTTCACCATTTGAAGTTGCAATATTTCGAAGACACCTACGACACCAATTAAAACAACCATGACATTGGTCCATGAATAAGTATAATACCGTATCAGGTACAATTGTATGGTCAAATTTTTAATTAAACAAATACTAATTTATTTTAACATTATAATAAATTCTACATTGATTTCAAAAAAAAGAAAAAATTATACTAAAACTATGTTATCGATCAAATAAAATAGTATTTAAAAAAAAAATTACAATGTAATTAGGAAATTATAAAAATTTTTAAAATTTTAAATTTTAATCTATAGCAAATATTTGTTAAAAAACAGGGAGAAAAAAGAAAAAATGAAAAATAGAAAATATAGAAGTGACAATATGAGTGAAAAAAAAAATTGGTGACACTATGAAATCAATGAAATTAATGTTTAAATTGTAAAATTCGAAATGCCAAAAATAATGTTGGTATGATAGACGAAATGATTTTAGCTGTTTCCGGTCAAAAAAAAAAAAAGGATGAGATGTCACGAAGGGGCTATTGCCAAATTTAGAAATATTCTGAAAGGAATATCGAATCGAATTTATGATATCATTTTCGTTTTCAAATAAATGAGAACATTGTCATTATACAATGTTAATTTATGAGGTATTTATTGCCCAATTGATGCTTCCAATGTATTTCCGGATCCTGAAATAATCTAGTCTCCAAAGAAGAGAGAGAGAGAAGAGAGAGAGAGAGAGAGAGAGAAAGGGAGAGCAGATATTAATTTCTGGAAACAAATTTTCAACTTGATAGATGATGCTAATATTATTGTATTGAATGATGAAAGTTGAGATGAAATGACTTGGCTTTTTATGAGATCATATGCCGGAATGATATATGAATGAGATGAGAAAAAAAAAGACAACGATATGAAAGCATTTGTGGTAGCATCGATAAAATAAAAAAACAGCAAACGGATTCGCACATGTAACTTCGCATAAATTCGGAAAATCACAATAAAGAAATGTGAAGAAACGTAAAGGAACGTAAAGAAACGTAACGAAGCGTGAAAAAACGTAAAGGGACGCTAAGAAACGCGATGAAACGTAAGGAAATGTAAGGAAGCGTAAAGAAATGTAAGGAAACATAAAGAAGTGTAAAGAAACGTAATGAAGCGTAAAGAAATGTAAGGAAGTGTGGAGAAACGTAAAAAAGCGTAAAGAATTAGAAATAAAGAAAAACATAAATTGAAACGTTACAACATTTAGAATATCCATAATACATTCAACGTTTTACCAGTTTTTTTTTTTCGAATATAAAATTGAAATTTGAATTTTCTTTTTTTTGCATCAAAAATACTATGATCGATATAATTGAAAAGAATGCTTTAATAAAAACTAAAAAATGATTAAAGAACGATTGAAATTAGTGTAAAGTAGTTATTGCAACAAATAATATAATACTCAAAATTGTTCAATTTTGAAAAACTTACAATATTAGAAATTTTAAATGAATAAATAAAATAAACTTCGATGAGGAAATGATACGAATTGAATAACTTAAACGAATTGAATTTTTTTGGGAACCAAAAAAAAAACTTTTTTAGGAAAAAAAATATTTGACGAGAGAAAGTAAAGTGAAATGTATGCTTTTCATCTAAAATTTAATCAATGAGAATTATTTTATTCCAATTTTGATTGAATTTATGAATCATAAAATGAATAAATTGTTAATTTTTAGAATGTTACACCTTCTCAATGTAATGATTATTAATGATAATTTAATAATTGAAAGTATGAATTTCCATTAAAGGACAAAAATTTGTCATCCAATATTGCATTCGATTGCTCATTTTTTTTTCTTTTTTTCATATCTTTTCATAAATGAAAAATAAAAGAAATGAATAATTAAGCTAATCTTTAAAAATAAGATTTGAAACTTTTCTCTTTCATTTTTTCTTTCTTCCTCTCTCTCTCTCTCTCTCTCTCACTGTTCGTTTTTTACTTTTTTTTAAAATTTTAAATTAACT